CCGGAAGACCCAAACGCTGGGCCCAGCAGGACCAATGCGGGAAGCAACGCCCCCTCCCCAGCCCACTGCCTACCCTGCCCAGCCTTTTAAGCCCAACTCGTTACGTCTGGTCTTTTGTGGCTAAACTAGCGCTGAAGCCCACTGCTCAACTCTAGAGCTCGTGCGCACCGCCAAGAAGGGGCCAGGCGGAGCGAGTGGGTGTCAGATCCCGCTCCCAGGAAGCCTGCCTGAGCACACCCAACGCCTCACTCTCAGGTCTTGACAGCTAGAAGCGAACGGGGAATCGGGGCTGCAGCAGACGGCAGCCCCAAAAGGGATGGTTACAAAGCGTCTGCTCCCCTTAAGCACAGTGGGCTGGAAACACAGATATCTTCACAGACTCACAAGCAAACACACCGCCAACCCCACACAGGGTTTCCACAGTCTGTGTCGCTCGCCACTCTCCCAGTGTTTCACGCGTTCACACAACAGCCAGTCTCCACACACTACAAAACTCGTTCCGGACTCTCATTCCTAGTCTCTGGAGAAATCCCGACATTTTTTTTAGCGACCAGGAAGCAGAGGCGCGGGAAGGTCAGGCATTTGGCTAAAAGTCAATTCCTTTCCCCCTGCGCTGCCCACTGCAGCCCTGGAGACACAGTTGCTGGACAGAATTAGGAAATGGGTACAGGCTCCCGGGCACACACAAAGTTCCCCAGTCCTTTTTTAGACACTGAGCTTTCGGGTAGCTCTAGGCTCCCCAGCCTTCACCGCGGGCTGCGTGTACGGGGTGGTCTCTTGCGGTGGGTCATTAGCGCAGGTTAGGGCCCTCAGAAAACCTCGAACTCCAGGTTTAAATGTGGAGCATTTTAATGAGGTAGGGAGGTGGGGAGAGAGACGGGCGACGAGTGCTGCATCTAAAGAGATCACCCGACCCGGGTTCCGAGGATCCTTTGTAAATTAAATATGAACAGACTAGCGCACACACGCCCGTGTCCCTCCCTTTCTCCACCTCCTACAGCCGCTACAGGAGGCCTAGCAGGCTGGGACCAGCGCTTCTCGCTCAGCCCAGAATTCAGAACCCAGAACCTCATTCCATCTACTACTGTAGTCCCCACAGCCGATCCAGAGGGAGGGGTGAGAGCACCCCGACCCTGTGGTGGGACTGGGGAAGGGGTCCAGAGTTCAGAAGTGGGGCCCAGCGGTTCGGGCCAGGCTGGGGTGGGGAGTGGCGCAGCCGGCGGACCTGGCAAAGCCTCTTTGTCTGCGGAGCAAGGAGGTCTTCCTGGGAGTGTTGTCTGCGCCCTGGGAACCCTGAGGAGGCGCTTCAGAAAGCCTTGGCCGCGGAAGAGGGGTCTGGGCGAGGCAGAGGCCCAGCATCGGAGATGGGGGGTCGGCACTAGATGGCGGGTTCTGGAGCCTTTCCCGTGTGGGGGCAGGCGCCTGGCCGCGAGGTAGGGACCGAGGCGCCGGCGCGTAGACGCACCGCTTGTGGACCCTCCACCCAGTTTCCACCTGTCTTCTGGTTCTTTTGCGAGGAGGCGGACGGAGAGGCGGGCGAACAGGGGACATCTTGGAAGGGTAGAGGGACTGTAAGAGAGGCTGAGGAGTGGAAGTGAAAATGGTTTCGCTCACTCTCCGCGGGGTGTTACCCTGGACCGCAGTGGCCCATCCCGCCAGTGTCCCGGGAACCTCTGGGTCCCACGGGCCAAGGAAAGAGCCTTTTCCCTTGCTTTCTTGCCGGTGCTGCAGAAGCCGGGGAATTCAGCAGGGAGATAGGGCTCCAGGCGCCAGGACCGCAGCTAAGGGCGCGGTGGCCACCCGGAGTGGGCGCGGGCTCCCGCCCGCCCCGTGGTTCCCGCCCACTCTCCAGCGAGCGCTTTTGTTCCCCGAGCGTGCCTTCGGGGTAGACAGCCCTTACCCCAGCCTTCCACCGAGAGCCCAGTGCCTGACCCGGCAGTCTGAAGCCCGAGTTGCCCCTGGCAGTGTCCGCGGAGAACTGGGGTGGGAGCCACGACTCCGGTTCAGCCTCCGAGTTCAGCCTGAAGATTGAGCGCTTGTGGTCTTGCGCCGCCAGGCGCGCAGGAGCAGTCTGCTGAGTATAATGTTAATAATGGTACAGTTACTGAGGGACTGGGGGAACGGGAACCAAGATACCCCCCCCGCCGCCCACGTCTTTGATCATAAAGAAACAGGCCCCCAATCAGGCGGGTAGAAGTTGGT